CACCTTTTGCAGATTGGTGTTAGCTCACACTGTGGCAAATCTGATGGGAGGCCTTAGGCTAGGCACTTTGTAAAGCTGTAAACCTGCACACTCACACAGCTAGAGCTAAACACATGCAAAAACTGCCCTGAATCAGCTTCTCTTCATTCATGGGAACTATCCTGTACATCTTCCAGGTGCTGCAAAACTCACAAAAATGTTTCACAAGGATTCACTTGCCAAGATCCAAACCTGGTTTTCAAGGTCAATTAAGAAAGATAACAAGCACATATCCTGACCCCCTTCCTGAAAAGCACCCCTGAAACTCTCATAGGCCTGAACTGAGTGGGGGTGCTGAGATGGAAAGAATAGGATCCAGCCAAGTCTGCTTGGCCCAGCTACCACTGAGCTGAGCAGCAAGGTGACAGTACACTGATACTAGTCACTCAAACCTCAGTGCACTCAGGTTTGGTTCAGGGTAGAAAAACTCCCTCTCCCAGTGTAGCTCTGGGCTGCTGTGGGAAGGGTGAAAGCCAACAAAAGGTGTCTCGCTGATGTCCTTAAGTCCTTTGAAAATGAGTCAAGGGAAGCACTGAATTCACCCCTAAGCATCCAGATCAGCAAGTGGGAATTTCCATAAAATTTCTGCTACCTTCACATTTCAAAGAAAGACTTTGCGTTCAGTTTGATTTATTCTGAACTGACTGACACACTCAATTGTAGGGAAGCTAGAGCAGAGAACATGAAGAGCCAGAGTCTCTTAGAGTCTCTCCATCCTCTTCAGAGAGGTCCAGAAGGGGATAAGAATGAGCCCAGGTAAAATCTGCAGTGAGGTTGCTAGGATTAAGGATAAGCTAAACCTATAGCCAGGTTTTAGTTTTCTCCTCCCATGAAAAATGCAATAGCATAAGGTTGTGCACAGCCTTAATCAAAAATGCCCTTAACTACAAACAAACTCCACACGCCTTTGATACAAATGTAGTCATTACACCAGTATCACAAGATTTCAGGAACACTTGACTCCCCTTTGAGAAAAACCTGTATCTTGCAGTGCACAGTTTATACCAGTTGTAAAGTTAGACATTCTTTCTTTTTCACTCAGGTTGTCGGCTAAAGAATCAGTGGCAAGTTTAAACATGAAACAGGGTAAGTAATGAAAAATGCTAAGATATCACGTATCTAGGCTACTAGTCCACAAACAGCAGAGCTTCAGAAGCTCTAACATTTGTCTTTGCAGCAGGACCCAAATTAGAATCACAGAATTCAGGTAATGAGAAACTATATTTAAAACCTGTATTTAAGTATCTCTATGGGCTGATAGGAAAGACCCTCTATTCTTGTGGCAAATCCATGGGTTTCTCTTGATTCATGTAAATCTCCTTCTAACGAGTGCAACTCAGAAATACAGCCAGGTGAGGGGCATGTGTGCAACTGCCTCTGCCTCTTGCTACAAGGAACGTATCAGCAAGAGATACTGATTTAATCTCATCATTAAAATCTGTTCCTGTAAGTCATAAAGAAGTGGAAAGCATGATGCCAATGACCTTTGGGATTCACCTTCATCTAACATCCCTCCATCCCTCTTTGCAGAATAAATAAGGCTCTCATACTTTTTCAGCTACCAATGCCTGCTTTGGCATCCTCTACCGAGCTAGGGCAACCCGACAGTACTGGCACTCCCAAGAAACACCACTATCAGCTCTGTGTCCCTTCTGAAGCGCACAGAGGCAACACAACTCAGTCCTAGAGTATGTTATCATCCTGCCAGATCTAATACTACAAGCATTTACTGTTGCTTATAATTCTACTGGAGGAGTGGGTGAAGAATAGTCTACAGAGTAAAGAAGAAGAAACTTCCAAAGCTACAGTCTCTGCTGTTCAGAGTTGTCCAGGGAGGCTTCTTTGCTACAGAGTAGATATGCTTCTGTGCTCTTAGCTGCATATGGAACAGAGCCAAACCAGTCCAGCATAATCCTAAGCCTAGCCTGGTAACAGCTTTCTTTTTCAAAATGTTTTCCAGAAAGGGAGAAAGAATGTCTCCTCTCAGCACTGAGAAAAAGAGGTCCAGTGCAAGCAGACACACTGCTCCCAGAGAAGAAAAACAACCGCAAGCATGCAGTGGAAACAACAGACCTTCCCACCTTATCAGAAGTCTCTCTTGCGCAACAGCCACGCCCAAACAATAGATAGCCCCTTTTCCATGGACCTCCACCCCCTTCAGAGCCACTGAAGCATCTCTCACTCACCTTCACATATAGTAATAGGTAGTATGTAGATAATAAAGATATCTCTTCAGACTCCCTGTTAAAATAGTTTTATGCTCATTGTATTTAGTCCTCAAGCAATTCAACTAAACCATGCTGCAACCAAATGCTTTTGGGTCATAATCAGGTTGCTTCAATTGTATATAAACCTCTGTCCTCAGTGTTTCTTATCAGCTGTCACAGTATCACAGTATGCTAGAGATTGGAAGGGACCTCGAAAGATCATCTAGTCCAATCCCCCTGTCTCTCAGCATCAGCCGTCTCTCAGCATCAGCCTGCATTAGCTGAGCCTGACAAACTTAATTACGTCTGAGGCTCACTACTGAACAGAATCAAAATGAAAGCAACCATGTTAACATAGCCTTTCAACAGCATGGCTCCTCCATGAAGCTGATAGGTTATTGAGAAAATACATTTGAGCAAAAAGGGTGGTAATTTGCAACAATAGCTACAATCAATTTCATCTACTCGATCATTTCCGTTCCCAAAGCATCTATTACTATTTGCTAGATTTCTGAAATCAAAGCTCCCTCAAGGTCACTTCACCCATCCTAGCAGCAAAGGTAGAGCAAGGTTATGTTCAACGTGTGAATCTCAGGATCAGAATTAAAGTTACTTATGTTGGGAAGTGTCTCAGATACAGTAACCTATTGTTCCAGCATGAACTTTGCCATTCCCCAACACAAATGTTGCCCAATCCTAAACTTAACTTGTGCAAGTGTCATCTGTCACCTTCCCTGACCCCATCTGCCACTGATCTTAAGAGTCTGAAGAATCTTAGGTTTAATAGGTGCTATGTGAATTAACATGCAGCATCTCAGCTGTAAAAATGTAACTCCTTGTAATTTCACTGCTTTACACATTTATATCAGAGAATCTGTAATAGATGGTGGGTACACTTATGCTGCACTTTTTGTTACAGAAATAAAAACAGCAATGCTTTTATGAAAAAGCTGATCTAGTTTCTGGACCAAAAGCAATCACATTTTCATAATGCTTAGCAAAAAACCCATATGACTTGAGCAACAAACCACAACCTATACTTTAACCAGACAAAACTTTTCTACCGCTATTTAAAAAGTATAGAGAGAAGTGCACTAAGTGGATAAAATCATATCCAGTTGGTTGCCAACCCTTTACAGACCACAGGGACCTGTAGGCATCCCACTTTCTGGTCTCCATTTGAAAACTGTAACAGAGGGAGAAATGAGCATGGATACAAACCAAGTAATACTTGGATCATCCCACTGATTCCAGCCCAGCAAAGATGGTCAGTTACAACGATGTGCTCTTACACTCTCCAGCCATCCTAAGTGAAAGCTGAACTTGTTCAAAACCTCCAGATGCCTGGCTAGTCCCTAGAGCCCAAAGGGATTGTGCAGGTTCACAGAGGCAAAGTAAATCCACACATTTAAGGTGTCCATTTCAGTATTTTAGAAAAGCACTTGAATTAGTTAGAAATAAGTTAAATCAGAACATCCAGCCAAGAGAGTCTATGACTTTGTTGGTTTTTTTTTAAGGAAAAATAGCTGTCAAACAATACAATACATATAAGATGATAAAACAGGTACACTGAAACTGAGTCAGTGACTTGTAAGAAAGAGTTCACAGCTCCAGGTACTGTTCTGAGGCTGTGTGATAATTTTGCCAAGAGAATCAAGAAGTAATCAAAAGTGATTGTGCACTCAATGTGCACCATGTGCCAACCAAGGCACATGATTTGCACTTATGCAGGCATTCATCCCACTCTAGCTGAAGTACACAGCATTGGCTTAACCTCACTTGTATTTCATCCACTGACACCCCTGACAGCTGGCACATGAACGAGCATGGCTCTGCTGACAAAGGCAGTTCAGTTGCTTGTCTGTTGAGATGCTCAGGAGAACCGTAATGCTTGTTTGAGTGCTCATGCACACTTTGCCACAGGCAGTAGTGGTGCAGGTTTTGGGATCACAGCAATGCTTGTCATTCCCTGCTTTGAAGAAAACTTAGAGCAGAAATAGAGGAGAATGAATACATTAAAATAGTAACTACTAATGCTCTTGGGTAATACACCCAACCTGGAATGTATAAAACAAATATTAAAAAAAAATAAAATTTAAATAGCTTCCTTGGGAAACAAATCCTGCATTTGACATTAATTTATTATAATCTTTTTTTAAAGCTATTCATATTGAAGTTTATCTTCACCCTTCGTGTCCTGAAACAGCTCTGGGGCAACTATGGAACTACAGAGCATTGAGACAATTCACGAGGGCAGGAGATAGTCTTCAGAGTGTAACTACTTCACGTCCCGGTTCTATCTCATGAACTGAGCGTCTCATCTTTCCCATCATCTCATTCTGAAGCCTAGTTGTTCTCCGAGTCATTGTCTTCATCTTCTTTTCCAGACAGAGTATGTTTGGATGAATCAATGGCTTCTTCCAAAGGAACAGCTCCTTTCCGCTGTGGCAAGACACTGAAAAACGCCTCCTTCCAGTCTCTCTTCTCCAGGTATGCAAGGATGATCTCAAACACTGCAACATCAAGAAAGACCATCAGCTCTTTTACAGGGACATAAGTGAAATTCTGACAGGAACACATCCTCAGATCCATCTTTACAGTGGTTTATGTGCACTTGGTTGTGACATCTTCAGAGTAAAGCTGATGAAGTACAGGCAGAAGCATACAAAACAATTCTGCTACTGCTGCAGTCTAAAGTCAAAGCACACTTTGAGTCTCTGGTTTTAAGAGAGTTACTATAGCAGTTCTTTTCTCTCAGGGTCAGAGAGAATTGCTCCTCCCGCCACCCCGAGTACTTCAGGGCTTACCAGTGCCTAATGCTTTCTGATGCTTGACAGGAATACTGCTGTGGATGTACTTTAGCAATGACTTTGTCCCCTTGCTAACATATGGACAGCTGGAAGTCTTTCTAAAACCTGCCATAAATCAGCTTTCTCCTTCATTTCTAGCTGAGCTTATAGCAAAAATCCTTACTGGTCTCTTAGTCTGTGACCCTTTCTTGCTGTTTCTATTACGCTATCCATACAGTCCACTCCCCTTCTGTTTCAGCTACCAAAACTTTCCCTGATTGACAATAGATCCAAACTGCATTATATACAAAATTTATCAGCAAATTCTTACTTAGAAAAATCTTAGGCTACCTAAAAAAACAACCCTCTCAACACAGATTGAGAGTATTCAAACCCTATGGCTCAGCAGCAGCAGGAAAGGCAGGAGGTGGCCCTATGTACAGCTGGTAAGTCAGACAGACTTGGATGACAAATCTGCAACAGAGGGGTGGCTCTTCAAGCTTGAGGCTGTAGAAACAGGGCTAAACACCACTGGAGAACGCTGACTTCAACAAATACACCCAGCACAAGCATTCTTGAGGCTAAGTGACAGCATATGAGAAAGGATCAAAGGAGCTAAGAAGGGAAAAAAGTTACAGAGGTTAGGCAGTGTGCAGAAAGGGAGAAGCAGCATGGATCTTGCACTCATGAGAGTCAAGTTACAGAAAAGTGGCTTATTTACTAGAGGTTTCCTGAAACCAGGTTTACTGGACAGCCAGCTGCTCTCTGAGACGTGGAGATTGAAGAGTTGGCCATTTTACTACACAGGTTATTCACTTGAAACTTACTGTGAAGGTATGAGCTCTCAAAAGACTATATTCATATCCCCTCACACAGAAAGCATTTGTGGCTTAAGAGACAAGTGGAGTATAAGGAGCATGTTTCTTTGCCCTTGCTCTAGAACTTCCTTTATCTGCATAGTAAAACCAGAATTGGTCAAAAGAGAGCAGCTTCCACACGAGAACGGAGGCTTCTATGATGGGCTGCAACAGCAACAAAAGTCTTTTGCAAGGACAGAAAAAGGTAGTGGGAACAGTTGGCGGACATCATTCTAGAGGTGAATGAAGCAATATGGGAACATATACTACAAAGTAGTCGCCTTGGGATACAAACCTGAACAGGAGAAAAGCGCTCTCAGCTGCACTTGCAGTTGTTTTGCAGTACAGTGTTTTACACAGATCTCAGTCTAAGTCTTAGAATTCCAGATCAAGTTAAAAAAGAAAATGTTTCATCTTACCATGCATCAGTTTTCTAGCATCAAATATTTCACACACACACACACACACACACACACACACACACACGTCCCTCATCCCATTTTAACATGGCAATGCAGGCACTGAATTTTCTGTGGGAATACATGAAGACTTGATCCCAAGATAGAAGGATTATAAATCAGTAAGTAAAAAGCAACAAGTGAATTCACCTGTTAATGACTGTCAATCTCCCACCACCAGAGGGTCCATTTAATTAAAGTGCCTCATAGGCACAGCAGCTCAGAGACAGTTTCTTCTTCTGCAAGACTTTCCAACTTCATACCTACCAGAAGTAATCCATAGGGACCTGGAAGGTCCCATAGTCTCATGTGGTGAGCCCTGCACTGTACTCTGTACTAGCTTCAACTTCTGCACTGAAGGTGGGAACCCAGAGGCCAGAATAACCAAATCAGAAGAGAAAGGGCAATTTACACAGTTACAAAAGCAGCAAAATGCAAAAACCTCAGTGCAAATATCCTTCTCACCTAGACAAAATTTGTAACATGGGACTTGAGAAGCAGCTTGATTCTGTCCACCTCACTCATGCCTCACTCCCTTGAAAGCTGTCCTTTTAGATTTAGGTTGTAAACTATTAGGATTACAAATATACACCAGAGCCTTAATTACAACAGTAAAAGGTACCTCTGCTTTCGGTGGTGGTGGACTTGGGTTCATTTTCCTGCCCCAAAATCTTGAGCAAAACACTATAATATTTATAGCCATAATATAATATATAATCTAAAAAGGGTCTGTGCATTAAGAGCCTTTCATCTGTAATTTGAAATGTTTTAGAAAGGCAAGGGTAGACAAGCTCACTCAAAATGAAACCTTGCCAACTGAATTGCAGTGAAAACAGGTGCCTAGATCTCCGGGACAAAAACCATGCAAAAGACCATAAAGCAGATAAATGAAAGCCTCAGTGTAATTAACTCAAATTATACCCAGTGCTCAAACATCTACAACCCAACCTCAAGAATTGTTGACACTAGAGGTCAGTATAAGATTCTTGCAGAAAAACTCCAGGAGAAAGCTACAGCTATCATAACTCTTGATGAATAACACTTAAAATCCTATTCTGCTCTATATAAAGCAACATTTAAAGATCAGGTTTTAGAAACATGTAAATTCTTACAAATACATGAGGTTTGATAATTTTTAATTCCAATGTTCCACTATATTCTCCTTCATGTTTAAATAATCTTTATTGTCATGCACATACATACCTCATCAATCAATGGCATTTTAAGAAAAAGTTATCATCAAGTAACGTGTTACATAATAAAATGAACTTGAAATAAAGCAAGGTAAGAGAAAATAAGAAAATCCAAAGTGGGGCAAAATAAAGACTTGGACACCATGACAAAAATCTCCATAAAGGTTTGAGTAGGCTCCATTTTGCATGTATTTATGTTAAATGATGCTGAAAGCTAATCTAATGATAAAACTGAAAGTTTAAAAGGCGAGGGATTCAAGACTTGGTTAAGCAATTGTATGCTTTTAAATCAGTTTAAAATGTGGTTTTAAATCAGAACCAGGAAACCAGATAAAAATAGTTATGAAAGCTCAGCAGATGGGAGTACTGCTGAGATGAGGCAAGTCTACAAGTACCTAAGCAGTTACTGCTGAACGAAGGTTTCCAAAGAGGTGAAAACATCACATTTATCCTCTCCTGTGATAAAAAACATGAGATAGTTTCCAACATTTTAGACATTAAGGCTGGCAACAAGACCAGGATGGTAAGAATACCAAAATTATTCATGGGACTAGTCAACAGAATAGCAAGCACACTTGCAAGCACAGTGGCTAAGACATCATCCTTTACGTTAACCATATCTGAAACAGTTGAAGGCCAGGACAGTTTCTGTATCCCAAAGGCAAGTAGATTCAAGAAATATGAACACAATAAAATAAGATTTAGGCATCTGCGCTACAGTGTACATTTTGAGGGTTCAAATTCTGAATATCCCAGGTATATTCCATAACAACATCATTATATTGTGATCTAAAACTTACCATGATTGACAGCTAACACTTTCCGACTCTTCATCTTGACAAAGTTTCCAAGGGGGAGCTGTGCATGATCAATGCCCTGCTCTACAGCCTTTTTGTAAGTAATTCCCTGTGAGAAAGACACCAAAAGAACTGGACTGAGAATCACCATTTCAGATCAGCCCATACAGATTACTACAAGTACCATTTTTCTGGAAAGAGTTTTGCCAGTGCTGCCATGACCTTGCTTTAGAAGGTATTTATGAAAAGTAACTTAACCTGGTTACACAGTATTTGCTTCAAGGGCTACCTCTGGAAAACTTACTGCTTTGAACATATGTCACATTGTGATGTATAGCCAGAAAAATTGTAAGTAAAACTTGTTCAAGCAGCTGCAGCTTCAGAATGCATCAGCTATAACCGGTTCTAAAGGTAAATTTATGCTTAAGTACAAAGTTACTCATATTGCAGTAACTGGATATTTTTTCAGAGGAAGAGTAAAGGATAAGGAAATTTTGTTTCCTTTTTTAAGGTTGGCAACTCCTGTGCCGAAGACAGGCAAAAAAGCCCCTTGAAAACTATGTGAACACTTCATACCATAATGACTACATAAAGGATCTGCTTCAACTTGCTCCTAGCCTTTAACTGTGGATTAACTGTTGAAGTATCATTTGGTATGGTTTAAGATCCATTCCTTTTTTTAGCATCACATTGAAATATTAAACATGTCACCAGAAATTACATAGGAGTGTCTGAAAAAAAGCAGCAACAGTGCTTTAACTTCCCAGCTGCATCCTCAATGACATTCCAGGTCCACACAGCACTATCCCACGTACAGGTACGGAATCAGATCCCCGAGGCATGTATGTTACTTAGCTAAGTCCTCCTGACAAGCAAACTTATTAAAAATGGACATCCAAGATCCAAGTGCTGCTCTTCAACTATATTTGGGCACATGCACATACAAGTGCATGCACACACACAAGTGCATGAACAGAAACCAAACCCTTCTGTCTGAAAATACAGCCCTCAGTAAGCTGAGCAGTGTTATTAATTCCATTCCTATATTTAAAATGGATAAAACCCTACAAAGCTCCGCATGTCTGCGCTCTGGAACAGAAGCTGCTTCTATCACTACAAGGTTTTTTCTCCCATTTCTCCAAAATTACTTTTCAAGCCTTTTTTGAAGATGCTTTCTTGTTGTTGATTGTTGATAGTTTACACATGAACAATGTTCATGTCAAATAAGCGCAAAAAAAAACCAAACAACCCCAAACACCCCCCCCTCCCGTGTCCCGTCCCGTCCCCCAAAAAACAGCTGTAAAGAAAGAGGCCCACAGTTTACCTTGTGGTGGTTGTGATCCACCAGTCCTCCAATGACATAGGCTTTCTTCTCATCAAGCTCACTGAGAACATCTGGGGAGTCTGATGTAAGATATACTAGGTCTTCTTTCTTTATTAGCTCAGTATAGTGCTCTGCTCTAATTTGAATATCCTCAAAAAAAGGTAGTAAAAAGAAGTTACATTTAAGTGATGAATTCCCGGGCAAGCTTTACAGATCCAGGATGGAACTAGCAAATAGAAATCCAAAAGCATGCAGTCATTTCACATCCATCATTCATGTTTAGGTATGTAGCACAGTGCAGACTAATTTCCGCATAAATAATCCACAGTCCCTGCAGCACTGACTGTAAAACTCACCAGGAAATTTTACAAAACCCCAAAAGAACTACACAAATCTTTAAGTTCTTGTGACTCCCTTCAAATGTTACCATATTTATCTTAGGGACAAATAATTTTCAAGTCCACCTTTCTAAAAAAGGTGAAACCAGAAGTTAATGCTTAATTAACATTACTTGTTTGATAACAGTAATTTATGCTATGTTTTTGCAAAGCAGCTATCATGTAAGACATACTAAAAGTAGAACTGCTTTTATTTATGCAAAGTCATCTTCATTTGAAGTTGTTGGAATACTGGTTACTGGTTTAACAGGGAGTCGCAAGGAAAGCCAACATGAGTTTGTCCATAAGACAAGCTATTGCTCTAAAGAACACTTCAGTGTTAAGGGGAAATATAATGGAAATAAAGGTGCATACAGAGAATCACATCATAGAACCAGAGAATGATTTGGATTGGAAAAGACCTTAAGATCATCCAGTTCCAACCCCCCGTCATGGGCAGGGACACCTCACCCTAAGACCATGTCACCCAAGGCTGTGTCCAACCTGGCCTTGAACACTGCCAGGGATGGAGCATTCGCAACTTCTTTGGGCTTCAGTGTCTTAGTTTGCCAAGAAAAAAAGGGCACTGTCAAGACAGACAACTGTGAGAGCTGCCTAAATCAAGTAGTCTTGCTTAGTCTATCAACCTAGTTAGCAATTATAATTAACGCTTCTTTCTCTCTTTCTCCAGAAATAGTCAATTATTCACCTTCCAGTTCACCCATCCTTTGTTACTTTCATTCATGTTGCTCTTCAACTGTCCCCCATGGCTGGTCAAGTAAAACTTTGAAAAGAACAGAGGCACAAAATACTGAAATGTTAACATGCCAGTAGTTCCTTCACAAGACTTACCCTACCCTTAAATATTAGCTAAAACTCTTCATTATTTTAGCTGAAAATGGTACTAAGATGATATTCACGTAATTGTTGACACATTTAAAAGAAAAACCAGTCTTTTTTTTTTTTTTAATCCATCCCACATAAAACTGAGCATCAACAGAATCTTAGTGGCATCCAGTATATGACATTCTTCATCTGCATGCACATACTTTTTAATATACACAGGGATTTTTATAACATGTGGGTTGAAAACTAATCTCCTAAAATAGAAGTAATTTTCTTATTAAAAAGAGGCAGCTTCAATATCTTTTTTCTACTACAGCTCTCACCACTTAGGACACAGCTGCCTTTCTCATGTGCTTTCTACAGGGCAATAGCTCAGTTTGTTTAAACATACCTGCACAGGATGAAATGCTTTGCGGTTTTCTGCATAACATCTCTGAATTTGCTTGTGAAGCTTCTTAACATCCTGTATACAACACAATTTGTTTTTACATAGCCCTTCAGACAGACCACCACAAAATGCTTTACCATGAGCCAGTCAGAAGCTAGAGAGAAAAAGGAAGCTTTTAACTGGCAAAAGAGGCTTCTAAGAGTGTGTAGACATCAGAACCTGAGAGAAAAAACAGCCATTGTGAAGAGGTTATGCTGACAAGAAACCACACACATCTACAAAGTGTACTTAAGACACCTTTATGCATGTAGTTGATTTACAAACAAAACGAACAAACATCACTGCGATTTAATTATATGTAACAACATACTCAAAATTAACCTGAAGGATCAAGCAGATTTATCACTGTAACAATCAATACTCATCTCTCACCAATAATATAAACCTAATAATAGATTATATTTAACAAAAGTAAACCTACATAATTAACCTGAAGAACACAGAACAATGCAGATAATTTAGTGGCTGACGCTGGCATTTTAACCTGATAATTTGGACAACAGTTAACTATAACTATTTAAAATGCAGACAACTTAACTTAGTCAATTATGGGTTTTGTAAAGAACATATACAGTTTTATTTTCAGTGCCCCTAAGCAGTGTTTTGTAAATGTAACAGATTCCCATTTTAACATGACCCATCATTATATTGCTTTGATTCACCTAATGCTTTCAGAACGTTTTGATATCTCCAAAGGATTCCAAATAAACTAGACTTCATCACTACAATATTGCAAGTTTCTACACCTGCAATATTGTAGTGATAGATACTAGAGAAAGAATGTAATTTACCCCACTGCTAAAGGCCACAGCCATCTCCACTTACAACACTTCACCCTTCCTGACTACCTGCAGAAGTGCTAGTTTTTCTATCAGGCCTAAGAGGGGCCTGACAAAACATATGTTAAAATGATGAAGATCAGTAGAAAGTGCCTAGTCAGCCTCTTTGTGACTATCAAGGGGGACTTCTGGTCTCCTCAAGGGTATTGCTGAAGGGCTCCTCAGGGAACCAAGTTCCAAAATGCCAACTGGAGCTTCCCCAAAATTCTGAGTTGAGTGGCACGAGCCCCTGTTAGTACTACACATGCGCTGCAGGACACTCAACAAGTAGCCAGATGGGCTTTGCAAATGCTTGAATTCAAGCAGGGTTGCAGGGCAGTGAAGCCCCTGAGAGCAGCAGAAGGGCTCAGGGTAACAGGGAGGGGAAAAAGCCACCTCAGAAATCAAAGGCTGCACTCTTACAGGATGCTGCATATTAGCATAGCTTACACAGAGGTACATTTCGAAGCCTAAAAAATTCAGCAACTGACATAAACAGGTCTGGGAGTCATCAGAATCTGAAACATGCTAACAATCCTCCGCAAGCTGCTCTCCAGGTTTTGTGCTCTAACACAATTGCACCAATGCTGTCACTGAAGAATCTTTCAACACTTGTATGTGATGGGTGAATTTCTTTTACCTTTAGTACCATCAGGTCATCAAAGCTGCAGTCCACAATGAGGCGAAGTGTACTAGGAACAACTTCCCTTCGCACACGCTTTCTATCATTCCCTTCATTACTGGAGTCCAACTTTGACTGACGTTCTTGTTTTCTCTTCTGGCGTTTTTCTTTTCGTTTCTGCCTAAATAAGCAAACACGTCAATCTTCAAAAACTACAGCCAAATCTGATGAGGAACGTGTCACACGCATAAATGCACATTTCGATGATCAAGGTGGTTGTCCCACAACTGTGGTGGTTTAAACTTACCCTGTTGCTTGCATTTGTGTTAGACTGGTCGCAGCACGAAACACATACCCTGTCTTTGTGAAGTTCTGTATATACCTACAGCCATTTGACACAAATTCAGTCAACAGTGAGGGTCTCATGGATTTAAGGGTACTTTCAGTCAGGTCTCATAAAAGAAACAACCAAAAAGATTGCCAAAACTGCAGCATCACAATGTGGAAGGCAATTTACCTCCTGTTTCACTGAACAGTTTTCCAAAGGCTTCTGAAGCAATTGTTTCTTCCCCCTGTTCCCCTGATGGGAGCAGGCAGTTGGGAGATCAAATTTCAGAGACAGCAACAACCACTCTCTTGGGAAAGAGCACTTTGCATTCAGCAGGACAAGAATAAACCACCTCAGCCCATTTGCAGGTATGTTTTTTCTCAACATGATAAACTAGAAACTCAGCATCTCCCAAAACTATTTTAATAGATTGTAAGTCAACATAACTTACAGCACAGCACTTCATGTGTCAGAAGAAATCTGGTTTTATTCACTGTCTCTGTAGATTCACCAAGTCTGACAGCACCAGGGAAAGAGGGGCATTCAGAAAGGAACAGGGCCACAAGTTATTCCTCCCTTCTGACGAACCAAAACCATGCAAGTTTAAATCCCTCCTGATATCCTCTTCAAGTTGAGGAACACCTCTAGTACGAAGAAAAGATGCTTACCTTTATAAGTTCTTCATATGCAGATGGAGTAGCCTGTGACTACTGCTTTAAACCTGTGGCGTGGGAGAAAACTGGTTCAACTGCCTTGGTCTGCTAAAGCGATCTACACTCAAATTCTACTGACACATCATTATTATTAGCACTACAAACCACACATGACCCTAGGAAAGCTATTTTGCAAACCATACCTCCGTAGATCTTTCTGTTCTTCCCACTGTTTCTGCTTCAACAGCTTCTTCCTTTGCCTCTTGGACAGGAGCTCAAGGCATTCTTCCTTGTTTGAGCCTGTCTCGTGTCTCTCTACTGGACTGCCACTGGACTTGATCTTTTCTTCCACATCAGGAACTTTAGGGGACATAGTATTTTCTGTTGGCACCTTTGGGCTTTCTATTGGTGTTTCTGATGACATTAGGTTCTGAACAGGTTTATTGACTGATTTCTCAACAAGTGATAAATATTTCATTAAAAGCAAGCTTTTCCTTTGTCGATTCTGTAATAACCAAAATAATAGCACAAGTTTTATTAACAAGAAGTTCAACTAGAACAAATATCCCTCTATACGTACCATAAACCTGAATAAAGAAAAAATAATAAGATATAGCCTTTTTCTGTTTTTTTTTAAAACTAGGTTAGTGTCTGTAAACTGCAACATATAAAATACTAAAGAGATTATAACCCATATTCAGATCACATCTAAAACTCTGCCTGCTACATCTGCACCTATTTAAAAGTTTTCAATTAAAATCTTTGTGAATCACAACTGCATAAAAGTAGGGAAACGTAGTGGATTAAATGTAAAAGAAAAAACAACAACAGTGCTATTATGCCTACAACTATCTCAACTACACAAACAGAAAAATCAAGAGGCTTCTTGTGATATAACTGTGGCAGCATGTTAGAGAAATACAAAGATACTAAAGCCATTTGGGGGAGGGGGAAGAATTGTGATCAAGCTATACCCCTTCAGAATTATTTTTTATTTCTTCTGAAATCAAAGACATTGGCCAGCCACTGCGAGTGGACAAAACACAGCAAGTAAAGGGATGAACACACCAAACTGTTAACTCAGCAAAACTTTCTGTGCTCGAACCAATTACAACTATACCATCTCCCTCCCAATAGCAAGTATTGGTATTTTTTATACTGGTAGCTCCCCAACCACATAGTTTTCCAAAAATAACTACTTCACTAAAGAACTATAGCCACAGTCAACACGCATTAAAACAAAAAAAAAAAATCCCCTGGCTTCTTCTGTAACAGAAGAGCTGGAAAACACACAAAACCCCGGAAAGCCAGAAGTGTTTTAGCTAACATGCCCCGATTTCCATGTCTGGGGGTGTTAAGCCGTAAGGCCCAGGGAGTGAGGATGGGTTTGGGTGCCAAACGGCAAGGCCTCGCATGGCACAGGTGCATCAGCACCACGACAGCATGTACGCCCTGCACAGACCGACTTCTATACATACCGCTGTGGGTGTATATATAGACACGCACACATCTCTCTCTCTCTATATATATACATACCCACACGTATCCATGTATACGCGCGTTATATATGTAGAAACAGTCGCGTTATTTTTGCTCACGCGCCCGAGTACTTCGTAACTCAACATAACCCAAGTGCCGGGGAGAGGGAAGGGGGGGGCCGTGACCCCGCCACAGACGGCAGCGACAGCCGGGCGTGTGGAGGGGATGTTACCACGCTCCCCAGGTCGCGTGGAAGCCGCCATCTTCCCCTCCTTCCCTCAGAGGAACAGCCGAGCCCGAGTCCCGCTTCCCCCCCGCCCGTCCCCAACCATCAACGGGTAGCAGGCGCGGCGGCACAGGGAAGCGACTGCAACGTACCCACAGGGCCGACAGGCAGGTAACCAGAGGCAGAGAAGGAGAATAAGAAAAGCAACCGCGGCCCATCGCCGCGCACGCGCACCTTCCCTTCAGCCACGACTACAAATCCCGGCGAGCAACGGGAGGCGGTGATGGACAGTGCCCCAGCGCTGGGGGAGGCACGGACACTGCCTACGGTGACACTCAGGGGCCCATGGGAGGCTGGTAGCCGTGGCGAGACCCGTCACTGCCTGGGCAGGCAGGCAGGCAGGCAGGCAGGCAGGCAGGCAGGCAGGCAGGCAGGCAGGCAGGCAGGCAGGCAGGCAGGCAGGCAGGCAGGCAGGCAGGCAGGCAGGCAGGCAGGCAGGCAGGCAGGCAGGCAGCTAGTGAGTTGCTCTTGCCCCGGTCCTGCTCGGCGCCTTGGGTTTGCGCTGACAGCTGTTTGCTGAGCCAGTTCTGTTTTCACGTGGGACAGCTTCCAGCCAAATAAAATTAAAAAGGTACAACCATAACAAATGCAGATTAGCCATGTGTTGTGTGGGCTTCTCATTTTTACCTCATGGAATCATGTAAAGTAGTTTGAGTTGGAAGAGACCTTAAGATCACCCAGTGCTAACACGCCTGCCGCGGGCAGGGACACTTTCCACTAGACCAGGTTGCTCAAACCCCCGTTCAACCTGGCCTTGAACGCTGCCAGGGATTGCTGCTTGTAACAGGCTGGCTGTCAGAGGCAGCTGCTGCCAGCCCTGCCACGCTGCCCTGCCATGACAGCGGTGTGAGTGACAGTGGACATAGGTGGTCAGGCTCTAGGGGCTTTCAGGGCCTGTCCTTGCAGGCAGGTAGGTACACAGGAGAGCTGACTGCTTTGAAACACCCTGTGCCAGGCCCCACAGCCTTCCTCGTGCCCCTGATGAGTGAGAGTCATGAGGAACGCTGTGCTTCTCCCCTGCTTCTGGCTGTGGTGGCTCCACGGGATTAAGAGGAGCGAAAAGAAAACCTTATTTTTATCTGATGGTTTTGATGACACTACCGAGTTCACACAGGGGCCAGTGAAGTATTTTTAAGTGGTGGCATTCCTGAGAGCAGATTTTTAGCTCCAAAGGTCCCCCAGCAATGCCGTGTTCCCTCTGGCTCCTAAAAAGGGGTATGTGCGTTCATGCTTCATATTTTTAAAGGCCACTGCCAATTCACTTTTTAAACTCTGGTGTCAGTACTCAGCAAAGGGAGATGTTCTTTTGCCTTCAGATGACTTCATGAAAGAATGCTGCCCTGGTACAGGAGCTCTGGAGACTGGGATTATATTATATGAGAAAAATGTATTTTGGGCAGACTAAATATGTAGATATCTGTTTGCGCCTGGTTAGTGAGGCACATGAAGTTAGCAAACATACGAGTATGTGCTACCATAATACCCTTTTCATCTGCATCAGTGTTTATCTCAAGTTTCATTGGTTCCAGATATACACAGCCTTTCAGTTTTAGTGCTGGTTTCAGGTTTACTATGGCTGCGTTACAGTCACAAAACTATGGTGTCTCTATAGTAAGACACTGATCTTTAACTGCTGTTGGTATTTAGTATTTGCTCCAGTATTTGATTTACTTTGTGATTCCTATTCCCTGCATTACTTTAAAAATAGCTAGATTTGCATTTGCTTTTGCTAGTGTCTATTTAAAACCTCACTCATGTTACTATTAATATCTAGCATCACACAAGTCCAAAAGCACCACTGTCCTTATGCAGAATCCTTCATTTTCTTTTGGTCATTAAAATGCTGCAGATCAGTTACCAGCAGAAGCCCATTTGCTTGCTTGCTTGCTTTTTTAGAAAAAATCCAAAAGGCATCTAACAAATATTCTCAATATTCAGATGTGCTTTTTCTTAGAATGAAAAAAGTGTCTAGACATTTTGATTTATAAATCTGGTTTTGTCATATTGCACTTTCCAAAGCTAATCCAGACCCCAATGTCCTCAGACGCTGACATGGGGTAATGCAACTTCTGCTGAAGTCTGCCAAGTGCCAACTGGTGACAAAGCAAAATGATGCCCTGAGCAGTTGCAAATACCTATAAAGAGATATCTGACTGAATTTCATTATTTTGAAAAGCCATGACATGACTTTTCAAGATGCTCGATCAAAGGGAGAGCTTCCTCTAGCAACAGAACAAAATACCCCATAGTCTAAAACTGCATATTGAAGCATTTTGTAGAAATAGCACTGCAGGTCGAGAGGCAGAGTATGGAGAAAAGAAAAAAGATTCTCCATGGAGGCCCAGGCGTAGATACTGATATTACTCTCTGTGGGGCAGGTCTGACTGCAGCACTCATGCGAAGCTTAGGATGCAGATGACACATACCTTAGTCAGTATAACACTTCACCTTTAGCCAGTGGCTTGGCTGGGTGTCTTCTGCCAGTGGCAGGGACAGGTGGCGTCTTACTCACCAAAACAGCAGGAGCTGGGGCACACAGGCTCCAGGTGAAGGGTGAAGATGGACTGGGGTACTTTGGTGCACATAGCTGAAAGTTTGAGTTGAAAACTGAGATCTTCACAATGTTGCTTGTGAAGAGAAGACAAAAACATTTTGTTGAACTCAGAAGATGTGAGGAACTCTCATCAGTTTTATTAGGTTGTATAAAGATATGAGCCTTATAGTTTGAACTCTGGAAAATGTGCAGCAACAGTAATACTTTGACCCCAGTACCTATGCCAGCATGGCTTGAAGTGTGCATTAGGGGCTCATTCTGCAACCTCTGTGTGTAATGGACTTTGGTGGGCACAACACTTCTTTCATTGGTGTAATTTGACTTCAGGGAAGTCACTGCTGATTTAATCTAGCCATAACTGAGATGAAGCCCAAGCCTCCTGTTTGTAAGACGTTCGAGGAATATACTTAGTATGCATTATGGGTATGTGTATAGGTGTATTTATGTATATGCACATGGAAATGTATGTACACTATTTCTCTACATGATGGTTACATCCTTAGTTCTGTAATTGGCACTACTATAGTGGTGTCCAAAAAGATATGCTGATTTACCTCAGCACAGGATATGGCCTCTGATATTCTAGTGTCTAAGAGAGTCCCTTTCATTAACAGCATTATTGCAAGGAAGAAATAAATTTCCTGTGTCCCAAGAGCATAGGAAGAGGATAATTGCTTCTCCCCAGATTTCAGACTAACGCCAACTCCTCCTCACGAGTGAAGTGTGAACATTTCATTTCCAAAGCAGCATCTATACCTCCAGTTTCCCTCTAGCTCGAGTTGGTTTTGCAAACAGCCTGGCAAGTTTCTTGTTTACCAAATGCAGCAAAAGGTTCAGCTGGAGTTCTCTGCCCCAGTCCCTTGAATTCAGGAGCATGTCACAGCCTATGCTGGGGAAGCAGGATAAATAACCACAAACTGGGGAGAAGCAGTAGCAGTCCCCATGGTTTCCTACTAATCTTCTCCCTCCCATGTGCATGCATACTCACACACCACATGTGAAGAGCTCCCATGGGGACTTCCACAAGGTGTGGAGATGAGTGTGAGCAAGATGCACTGGCATGGACCTGCTGTTTCCCACTGCTGGGCAATGACTGACATCCACAGTGCTCAGCTTTTCTTTTACCCCAGGGCAACAAAGGAGGCACTTGTACCACTCAAGGTGAAGGCTGTTCTCATTTTACAATCCCTTACTAATACAGAGGAGCTGGTGGCAGTAATGGAGTGTTGGAAGCAGCTAAATACAGACGGGGGTGGCACTGATTCAGTTGGGGTGTTTGTAGCTCACAGTCTTGTTAAAACAATCTCTGGAAGTGGAATGGAGGAGCATGGTGATGGCTCACAGGTGTGCCTCCTCTACAAGCAGGACCAGATCCTCCCTCTTCACAGAGCAAGGGAGGCTTTGTATGCTGCGGAAGAGGATGCAGGCTGTGACACCCAGGGTGTGCCAAGGAACATAGGGAGGTGACCTACTGCCTCACCATCACCTAAGGGACAAGGAGGTCCTTAGCAAGCCCTGTGGCCCTGAGGCTTAGTGTGACATGGCCAGGTATTTAATCTCAGAGGAAATGGGGAAGCACATGGGTTAGTCAGCTGGGAGCTTATCAGGGGAGGCGGTAAAGTGAGTGTGAGAAAAGGGAAAAATAGGGGTGAATAGGAGGGCTTGGTTTGCCCTGCTCCCAGACCCAGGCAAGCAGGTTCTCTTCACTGAGGTGGGACAGAATGACTGGTTTATCTCACCTTTTCAGTCTCTAACCTCTGCCACTACAATAGTGTAAGATGGGTGCTGGGGCTGCTGGAAGAAAGAGAATCTATTTGGTAGGATACAATACAACAGGAACTGACATGCATTTTAGTCTCTATAAAAAGTAGAATTGCTTTTAGGGATAGCACTGATAAATCCTATGTACTTTTGCTTCCAGGAAGACCTTTAAAAATCATCTGCTTCTGGGGTTGATCATAGAGTTGATACAAGACAATGGAGACAGTGGTGAGGATCTGGCCTCTGGTAGCAACAGACCTGATGGCCCTTTTGTTCAAACAGAGGAGGAATGACAGGATCTCCTGGTCCTGCCAGGACTGGAGGTGCGCTCCCCCCATGCACAAATGTGGCTGCGTGGGCTTAGCATTCAAAAACAAAAACTGAGGCAATTGATAAATGGGATAGAAACCACCAGTTACCTTACTTCTTAATAATTAACTGGAAGTCCTTTGATGAACTTAGTACCTGAGTGTGGAATTTGGAATCTGACCTTTACTACATCTAGATAAACAGTGTGGCCAGCCCCGAGTCTCTCTTGGAAGGCATCCCTCCACTCTCAGCAGCACACTTCTTGGAGGCTCTCACACTTCCATGCTGCAGTCAGAAGCTCACTGGAGTCCAGCATGATTCTTCTTACTGTGCTGTTCCTTTGCATCATTTCCACCTACTCAGCCTCTGTTAAAGGTAGGTCTGTACCGGGCTTGATTCAGCTTTTGGCTCAGCTGAGGCATAACCACAATGTGTATGCAGGTCTGTTTTGCATCAAAAATTATCATCTTTACTTACCCATCCTTGAGTAATACAAACGCATTTAGTAATTACAAAGGTTTAGGCACTTGTGGCATTCATGTCAGCGGGGGGGATAGAGGAGTGTTTTCAGGTGCACAGGGCCAGCAGTGTGAGCCAGGGGACTGAGGATCTTGACCTTGC